CCTCCCCTCCCCTCCCGTTGGGATACCACGCAGTAGTTACGTATTTGGTAGAGGCACGCGGCACGGGTTCCTGCGTCTGGTGCCTGTAAGGGTGGCATGGATGGGGAGGGGGGGAGAGAGGGGGACCTTGCAGCAGTAGCGCGAACACCAAGCCCGCGCCCCTCCGAGGGGTCACAAGGGGGCACATGGGCAGCGCCAAGTGGGCGAGGAGGTGGGAATGGGCAACGAGGCGACGCATGATGAGGGTGTCACCGCCTGGCTGTGAGTGAGTGCGTGCCTGCATCATCGAGGGGCATGGCAAGGCACGGCATGGCATGGCATGGCATGGGATGGCGTCCGGCGGAGGCGGCGGCGACGGCGGCGGCGGCAGCGGGCGGGGCTCGTGGCTCTCCCGCGGCCGCTACGGCCAATTGCCATTTTGGAACCGAGCCGTTGATCGGCCGGACCCGTCGGGCGGTCCAGCGAGGCCCAGCCTCCCTCTCCCGGCCGGATCAGCGGGCGGGGGTTGGAGGAGCATGGCGAGAACCATGAGGGCAAAGAAGCTGTAGCAGCGGCGGCACGAGGGTCCTGTTCCGTCTGTGGATTGGAAGACGTGTCAACAGGAACAGAGAGGATAACGCAAACTCGACCTGCGTGGTCCCCGAATCCCCTGTTTTCCGCTCCCCACCCGAGACGGCATTTTGAGATTCCGTACCGTATAGAAGGCCATCACGGCAAATGACATGACTCGGCCGTGCAATGGAGCACATTGGAGAGCGTGGGTCCGCCGCTCGTCCGAGGGCTCGCGATACTCCTCCTAGCTGTGAAGTTTGTCGACACCACATCTGTTGTTTCGTTTTTTTTCCTGTGCTTCGTCACCTGTTATCCCACCGTGGTGGATTCTTTTTCGCTTACCATGCCGGCCCGACGACACCAATAGTCTCGTCGTGTGCCTTTTCGGGGTGTACACCCAGAGATTGGGGGGCCCTCTGCTGCTATTCGCGTTTTTCTTGGCTTTTTCCTCTCTTTCGATATCTCCTTCCTTGCTTGATTCCTTCCCTCCGACCCTGGCCCCTGGCCCAGGCGGGCGGAGGACCTGGCGGCGGAGACACCGGCGACCGGGGGGCGTGCGTGCGTGCGTGTTCCAACAAACTCCGTGAGGCTGAGGCCGTGGCGGAGGGCGGTATGTAAGTAGGCCCTGGATTGGTTAGGCAAAAGTACGGTACGGTAAATGTAGGTTCGAACGTTTTGTGGCGATGGCTTTTTCCCATGGCATCATGGCATGGCATGGCATGGGCCTGTGCCTTGCAGCAGCGGTATCAACACCACCACTACATAATACCACTACCACTACCACTACTAGCTCCAAGGTGGATACCGCGGATCTACGGTTTGTGTTTGTGCCTGCATGATCGAAAATGCAATGCGACACCCTCTTTTTAGTAGTTGAGCCCAGCCGATATGTCCGCTCGTACCGTCGGTACGGTAGGTAGTACAAAGGTAGGGGCCGTTGAAGACCTTCTCTTGCTACCTTACCTACTGCAGGGCAGACAGCAACAACATTGGTTGGCCGCCTAGCGAGCAAACCCCCTCCCCCCGGGCGCGACTTGGCACGCGAGGGCTTAACAGGCACAGACTATAGCACAGGAGGACAGGCGAGGCGCATGGGAGGCGGGGAGGTGTAGGTAGGTAGGATGCAGGGACAAGGCGGACAATGCCATTGTCCCGCTGGCTTGGCTCATCCTCCGCCCGATGATGCAACTGTGCGCGCTCCTCCCGCGCGCCGCGCCCTTGTCTCCCTAGCCGCAGGTGAGAGCATCGCCCTTGCGTCCGGCAGGACGGTGACTTTGTCGCCCCCGGTGCATACCTACCCTAGGTACTAGGTAAGTAAGGCGAGTAGTCGGTACGAGTACAAGTAGTCTTAGTCGTAGTTGCAGCAGTAGCTCGGTCCTGGACGGAACGGCAGGACCCGACTTTTGCCGTTTAAGCTCCCGCGGCCAGCCCCTCTCTGAAGGGCCCTCTCAGAGGGGATCAGCCAGCAAGCAAGGGCAAGTTGGTCATGCTCTTCTTCGTCGAACCTCGTCCCATGAAGCGACAGCCGACATGGAGCATACTTCCCGTCACCCACTGACACGGATACTACGTGAAAAGGCACGCGGCGGCTCAGCGCCACATATCGCCCATGAGCGCCCCCCTTCCCCATTCGGCCTCCATTTCGCCCAGAAGTGGCGGCCACGTTGCTACTCATGTCCTACTCTTCAGCCGAAAAGAGAACCACAGCAAAAACAGACAAAAACCGATTGAGTGTGGCTTGACATCGTACGATGTGGCCGGCCGGCAAATACGTAGGCGTGTGTGTGTGTGTGTGCGTGTGTCTGCCGTCGAGCGTCCGACCACCACCCCCAGTATGGACGGCCTCGTTCGTCCTTTACCCGCAAGGGTTCCTCCCCAATCGGGGTTGCGTGGTGGCGGGCTCCCGAGCTGGGCGGGAATGGCCTTCTGCAGTTCGGCAAGTCGCGACAGGAACGACAAGTCATACTGCGGTCGGGGGGGCAGAGCTGAGGTTCAGCGG